AAGTTTATCGAACAAGTACTATGTGCATGTAGAATACAGAATGAGTATCTTCACATCAGAGGCAGGGGCAATTGTAAAGGTTTAATAATCCAGGGTTACTGAGAAGATCCCTTTGAATAGTGTTATTAAAAATATCCATACAGATGAGTTTTCTGTTATTTTGCTATGTATTAATTTTTTCAAAAGCCAAGGGTATTTATTCTGTCACTCATTCTGGACTTTATTCCAAGAAAAATGCACTCAGTCTATAAGTAATTTATTAATATTTTGATTATTGATGCTTTTTTAAGGTAAGAACTGATGCATCCTATATGTGGCAAGTAGAATTACCTCTTCAGCTGAGACCTGAAAATCCAGAAATACATAAGATAATGCAGGAAATGTAGCTGCAGGAGAGTATGTCAGTTATATATTGTAAAGTACTGTTAATTGTCTTACGCTGAATGGCAGTTTAATAACTTCAAATTGAGTTAAAATGAAAATTCCTTTTTAAAAAATCAAATGTAAATATTACTGTATTCTATGGTATATTCATAGTTTGTATATTAAATATTAAATCACCAAGGGGTCTGTGTTCTATCACTTCTACTACAAATGTGCCACTTTCTAATTAACAAAGATTCTTTTTTTCAATTTGCTTTTACAATATAAAATATTTGACTTCTTGAAAAAAATCTGTAATTCATTCCTTTGTTTAGTAAAGATCTATAGCTTCTGCATAGATTTTTTTTTGTGGTAAAATATGCATAACAAAATTTACTATTTTAATCATTTTTAAGTGCACAGTTCAGTAGCATTAAGTAAATTCACAATGTTATGCAACTATCACCATTAATCATCTCCAGAACTTTTTTCATCTTCCTAAACTGAAACTCTGTCCCCATTAAGCAATAACTCCCATTTCTCCCCTGTCCCCCAGCCCTTGACAGCCACGATCTGTCCAACTCTGACTACTTTAGGGACCTCAGATAAGTGGAATCATACAGTATTTGTCCTTTTGCAATTGGCTTAGGGTAGTGTCCTCAAGGTTCATCCACGTGGTAGCATATGCTGGAATTCCTTTTCTTTTTAAGGCTGAATACTACTCCATTGTACGTGAGTATCACATTTTGTTTATCCATTCATCTGGAGTTGGACACTTGGGTGGCTTCCTTCTTTTGCCCATAGTGGAGAGTGCTGCCATGCATATGGGTGTACTGCATAGTTTCTTTTAAAAATTAACACAACAGTGCTCTTTTTTAACAAGGTCATACAGATTTTACATAAAACACAAAGTGTTTTTGACTGACTCTTACTTAACCTCAGAATTTGGACCTTGGTGCAATACAAAAGGAGAATCTTTTGCCAGTATATCTCACTAAGGATTACACTGGGGATATATTTATAGTCAGTCTTTCAAATTATAAAAAGAAATATAAAGAGAGAACTTGAAACCTTTAAAGCATTTTTCACCCAGTTGAGCTATTTGGTAGGAAAGCTTGTCGGAGAGACTTAGAGTTCAAAGGCAGCCCATCGAATATAGTCAATTCCAAATGAAGACAAAGCTGTTTTTATCATAACTGAAGGCTATATTTAAAAAAAAGGATACTATTGATAGAATCCTGGATACCGTAATGTACAGTAAATCTCAAATAAATAGAGCCTATTCAGCCATACATTTGATATATTTGTCAGAGAAGGTGCCAAAAAATAAGTTATAAAGGGAACCTGACTATTTTATAGCCAATGTGCCATCAAAACCTTGTAGAGTAAAGAAAGGAAAGGAAGATACTGGCCTCAAAGCACCTGGCAGAGAAAAGCCTTCCCATGCAGGCTGACCTGGATTTTAATCCTGGCTGCCAGATTTCATAGGTGTTTGACTAGGCAAGATCCTTAATCTCTCTGAACCTCTGTGTTTTTAATCTATAAAATGATAAAAGTAATAGTTTTTGTTTTATTGGGTAGTTGTGAGAACTACAGTAAATAATCCATAATGATAAGCATCAATCGATGGTAGCTTTGACTATATAAATAATACTATTATTTAGTATCTGACTCATAGTTGGCTCTCAAAAATTTTAGTTTCCTGCTTTCCTTTACCTAATTGTGCCAACATTTTTGAGAATTTGTCGTGTAAAGAAGAATCAATATCCAGACCAATAATATTCAAATGTTCTTGCTCTCATACACACTGAAAAGGAAACTGAAAAATGTATATATGCTCTTGCACATGATTTTTCAATATAAGTTGAAAGAATAGGGAATTTTAATTTTCCCATGTATTGTAAATAGTAGCATCTTTAAAAATATCTCATCCTTTTTTGAAATGTGCCCAATGGAATCTACATATCATGGCAATTTGATATCCAGTATCATCCATTTAAACAAATACACAAGTTTTTCTTTATCAGTAAGAAATTTTATCTCATTCCATTTTCTCCTTAAACTCTTATATTTTCATTCTATTTTCTCCAGAGAATTTTATTCTAATGTAATATATTTTATGCTTAAACATCTTTATTGATCAATAAAATATAAATATTTTTAAATTTTGAAAATTAAAAATTTCCTGGGACACAAAAATCTAGGTATCAAATATTCATTCTGGATTGAGTTATCATTGTAATTTATTGTACATAATTGATCAAAATAAATATATTACACATTTCTATGGCTATTAAACATAAACAGTGAAATTTTTAACAGAAATAGATCTCTTAATGAGAAGAAAAAGCTTTTTTTCCTCCAGTAAGTTAATGGATCCATTAATAATTATTATTTCTTCCTAGAATGAGATAGGATTCAGCATCAATATCATCCTTATTTTGCGTTTTTATAGATGTGAGTGCTGTGAAAGCTGCTGGTGTAATGCATTTGAGGTTAGAATGCTCTTTCCCCAGATCATCCCCTGCTGGTTTCTTCTCACTATTTAGATCTCAGCTCAAATGTGACCTCCTCAGGGAGGCCTCACCTGATGGTGGGATCTAAAGCGCTCTCTCTGAACCCGGTTATGTAATCATCATAGCACTTGTCGCTCTCTGCAGATGTCTTGTTCTCAGATTTAGAAATTGCTCCTCTAGGCTGTGAGAGTGACCTTGTCTATCTTGCTCCTTGGTGACTCGTGGTAGGCACTATGATGTAAACGCTGTTGGATGAATGAATGAATGAATGAATGATAAGCTTGTCTGAGAGGATCATTTGTTTATAGAGCAGTAACCGGGAAGGAAACCGTTCTCTCTCCATTATCATCAAACCAAGGTCCTCCAAGTACTACAATGGAAGAGGAGTCTCCACACAGGCGGGGGAGTCTACACTTGTGTCCCAAGATTAACCCTGTGGTACAAGTGATATTCAATTGGAACAATTAAACTCAGCTCAAAATAACAAAAGGGAAATAAACACGGAGAGTAACTGCAACTAGGTAATCTGGGAGATTTTCAGCCTGGGACCAGGCACATGGTTGGAAATGTGTGGAGACACTTTTGCTCGGCGTGGGATTGGGGGAATATCTATCTGCATTTAGTTGGCCTTGCACAGGTACCTACAGCCCTGCGGTAATTAATGTGTGGGACGATCCCTCGCAGCGAAGACCACCTCCACATCGCATTTGAGCTTCTCACACCCAGGGGCGCTCTCAAGCTAAGGCAGACAACGTGAGTCCCCATCCCTGTCTAAAGCCTGTTTTCTGAGTTCAGGTTTCCCACAGAGCAGTCTCTGCCCAAATGACCATCAGAAAAAAAGCCCGCCGCGTCTGGAGACAGCCACCACGTCCACCCCATCCAAGCAGTACAGCGCAACACAGGACGGCCATCATCCCCAAAGCAGATACAGGTGACTTTTTAATACTATTATTACACTGGTGTGGGCGTGGGGGGTGGGATGAGGAAGGTGCTGGGGGAGGGGAAGGATGAATCTAGTTGACCTGGGAAAGGCCAGCCTAGCAGGTGACGGATTAGATAGGTTTAATAGATTAAATATATCTAAAACATCTGCTATCCAGTGCATTTCAGTTTACCCTTTGTGAGCACTCATACAACCAAAGAGCAAGAACATTCCACCCAAAAGAAAACACAAATGTAACATTGTTTTTGCCGAGCAGATTAGGCAGAGCTGCAGGTGAAAGATATTTATCTCCTCCCAGAATGTTTTCCTGTTACAAAAATTTTAACCTTGAGTTTGAGAAGTGCCCTTTAGCAGAAAGATTCGAGAATCTTCCACAGACAATAAAGTTGAGATGGGGGAGGAGAGGGGAGAAAAAGGAAAAACCATCGACTTTATTGAATGGAAAGAAATAGTGTTTAGTATGTTTCAGAGAGAGCCCACATCTCCTTCTTGGTAACCCTAGACGCAGCGACATCAAGAAATTTATTGAGCATCTACTATGTGCTCAATAAACAGGTGATTCAAAAGACTGCTGTTGCATGTACATGTATTAGTACCTTTTAAACTCATTATCAAATATTTTCTACCCACCAGTGTTTATACTATAAACGTTACGCTAAAACTGAAAAATTTGGTATTCAAAACTGAAAACGGCTGGCTGTTATTAATCAAGTAAAAAAGCTGCCTTATTCTATTTGCTCCAGCTGCCGGCCTTGAGGGAGGACGGGGGAAAATGGAAATGCAAATCACTTGCAGCAGCCTCCCTCAGTTGTAGGAAACACCGCAGGTAACGGGTTTTGTTTGTTTTTCGATTGCGCGAACACGTGTAAATTGTTTCAGGGTCCTCTTGATCACCTAAACGTGCGGTCGACCCTGAATCTTTCCAACGAGGGCGGCCTGTCTCAGGCAACGCACCAAGATACAGCTTTAGGATTTCCTTCTAGGCCAAAGGTTCTTGACTTTTAAAATGCCATAAAGGTTACGCGATTCGGGAAAGTGATCGCGGTCCCAGCTGGCGGCCCAGCGCGCTCAAGGGACGCGAACGGCGGGGCCCCGAGGGGGTCGGGGCGGGGCCGACGTCATGGAAGAGGCGGAGTCTCAGGAGCGGCGGCGGGAAAAGAGGACCGTTGAAAGCGGCGGGTCGCCTCGCCCGCTGCCGCGCTATGCCCGCCGCCGGCTCCGAGCTGCCGCGCCCGATGTCGCCGCCCGCCGCGCAGGAGCAGGGCGCCGAGTCGCGGCCGCCGCCGCCGCACGGGGAGCTGCAGTACTTGGGGCAGATCGAGCACATTCTCCGCTGCGGCTTTCGGAAGGATGACCGCACAGGCACCGGCACCCTGTCGGTGTTCGGCATGCAGGCGCGCTACAGCCTGAGAGGTGAGGCGGACGCGCCACGGGGGCGGGAAGGCGGGCGCGCCCGGTGCGCACGGAGCTGCGGTGGGGAGAGCGTTCCGGACAGGCCGGGCCCCGCGGTCGGCGTTTATTCAACCTCAACCCCGCGAGGAGGGGAAGCGGCCTTGGCACCACTTTGCAGACGCCGAAACTGAGGCTCGGATTAGAGAGATGACTTGCGTAGGGTCACACGAACTGGAGGGACAGAGCTGGGAGGTAAAACCAGGTCCTCTGGCTCTTAATCACGCAGTTATGCTGTCTCCCCAAAGCGGGCGCGATCCTGCAGCGTTTGCCCCAGATTAGAGGGTGGGAGAGTATCTGCTCGGGCTTGACCGGGGCCTTGGCTGGAGGGCCCCTTTTCTGCCCCTCCTCTTCCCTCCGCGTCTGCTGTTTCGCTTTGCAAAGTTTTTAAAAATTGGAGCCAAGATGACGTGGGCGAGGCCGCGTTGGGAGGAGCGAGCCGAAAAGCAAGGGCGGGAACTTGTGGTTCACTACAGTTTTGCCATTCGGTCCCGCGAACCAGCTTTCCTCTTAAACCTTGAAACAGGAACGCGAGAGTCCGAGTAGGAGTTCATATTTATTTGTCTTTGTCTTTAAAACAGGGTGGCTCCTGGGAAGAAGTGTGTCTAGGGGGCTGTTAGGGTTGGGCTTTCAGGGGACAGAGGGGCGGGGTGGGGGTCGGCACCGGACGAAAGTTGAAACAGGCGTGGAGGGCGGTTGTGAGTGGGGAGACCAACTGTTGGTGCAGCAGATTGACCCAGGTCAGGGGAGAAACCCTCCGCCGCGCACCCATTGGAGAGACTGGAAAATACGGGGCTGCAGTGGCCGATGTGGCTTGGACAGCCTAGGGAGTTTTGTCTGAGCAGAGGGATCCACCTTCCTGCAGCTCCAGCGCAGTGGCCTCCGGGGAAACACAGACCTCGTTTCTACCCCCGCCCCTTTGCTTAGACCTTTGGCAAGTGGCTTAACTTTCCCATCTTCAGCGTCCCCATGTGCTCAAAATGGAGGAAATCATCCTCAAAATGGAGGGAAGCAGGTGCTTGAAGACTCTGTTCTTGTTACATGAGTATCACCTGTACAAGTGATAATGTCGACTGAATAGGTACCAAATTTAGAGAGAAGCTTTTACAGTTTTCTCTGTTGCTTGACGCAAACTTACGTATTACCTCCTGGTGTCTGTAAAAAGGGAGGTCATAATGGAGCCTCAAGGAAGGCTGTTTTGAGGATCAAATAGGATCATGCATATTAAGTGTTTAAACAGTTAACTATTTTTATTACACTTAAAAGAATAGAGGTTAATTTTCTTTGCGACTATCTAGAAACTATTCATTTTGGGCCAGGGCAGTATCTACTATCCCGTGGTCTTGAGCAAGTTATCCCTGGCAGGATAATCATGGAATAGGAGCCTTCAGGCTTTGTCCTAGGTCACATTCTATGTGTTGTCTTCGCACCTCTGTGATGAAGGGTTCACGCTAACCAGGTAGTGGGTGGTAGCTCTTTCCCTGCGTACACGTGCATCCCTGCCTGTTCCCTGCCCCAAATACTGTGTGGAATTCCTGTGTCTGGTGGTCAAGGGGCACAGGAGGGTGGTCTCGGTCTGAATTGTGTCACTGACTTGGGGCTGCAGCCTTGGGAGCTCCACTCTGATCCGGGGGTGCCCACGTGGCAGAGGTTGCAGTTTTCCAGCTGCTCTGTGGTCACTCCAGGGCCTTGTGTCCTGGAGCAGTTTGCTTTTACAGAGAAAGTTGGATGGCATGTTCTGTTTTCCCATCTTGAAATTATACGATAAACTTTGTTTTCCAGATGAATTTCCTCTGCTGACAACCAAACGTGTTTTCTGGAAGGGTGTTTTGGAGGAGTTGCTGTGGTTTATCAAGGTAAAGAAATTGCTGCTATTGGAAATCAATAATCTGTTCTCAGTACAGCATCAGCTAGATCCTTTTAAAAGTCACACCATGTCACTCCTCGGCCTAAAGCCCTTAGTGGCTCCAATTTCACTTAGTAGGAGCCAAGGTCCTTACCATCCTGTCTCAGCTCTGGCCTCCGCCAGAGTCCTGCTCACTCTGCCCCTCCCACCCTGGCCTCCTTGCTAATCTTCGAGCACACCAGGACATTCCCACCTAGGGCCCAGGCACCTGCTGGTCCTGCTCCCTGGAACCTTCTGCTCCATGTAGCATGACTCGCTCCCTCACCCTCAAGTCTCTGCTCAGTGAGCTTTCCCTGCCTCGGATCTAAAACTGTGATTACCTCCCCACCTTCTCCTCCCACCCCTCCTTTGTTTTCTCTACAGAGAAATACCTTATGTATAAGGTCTGCCCTCCCCCTTTACCCCCTTCAAGGGTAAAGGCAGACAATCAAATAAATAAAATTTTTTAAAATGAAAATATATTTAAAAATAATTTTTTTTTAAATTTAGAAAAGTATTAGAAGCTCCATGAGGGCAGAGAATTTCTCTTGTCCACTGTTGCATCCCCTGAGACACAGCCTGCCACACAGTAGGCACTCAACATGGAGTGATCACTGAATATAGATCCCAACTGTGCTCTTGTGTTGGGATAAGCTGGAAGGGTCTCTTGAGTAACAAGCTAGAGTGAAGTGATGATGGGCAGCAGCCACACCTGGGCTTCCCCTCGCTCCATCTGGTTCAGACCAGTGATATTCTGGCCAGTGCTGGTCACAGGGTACCTGAGGAAATGGGCTCTGTTCTGGGCTGGGCTAGAGGTTGGGATCCCTTCTACAGGGCACTTATGTGGCTTGTATTGTCTTGGGCCAAAGCAGGCCCAAGGCCTCTTAACACCTTTTAGAAAAGGTTTAGATTTGGATTCAATCCAGTCTCCCTTAGTTCTGTATTCTCGGGGTATTTTCTTCTGCATTGGCCTATCTCAACTGAGAGTGAGCTTCTACTTCCAAATACACCAGCGCAAATCTCAGAAGAGGACGTTTGTAAAGCAGCTAGAGCCCAGTCTGAATAGATGGGAAGGGAGACTTTTGAAGCCACATGCGAAAGGTTGAGAAATGAGTTGTTGGAAGTGAAAAAAATTAGTACAAACTCAGTGACAGAAAGGGTGGAACTGAGATGCTCAGAAATAAAATGTATTCGCTTGTTTTATCTTAAAGCTTGAGTGCAGGATTCTAATAAATCCTTGTCAGGAACACATCAAACTCACCTCTGATCATCACTCCATGGGTGACTCAAAAATACAGGAGTTAGGGATTTCCCTGGCAGTCCAGTGGTTAAGACTCCGTGCTTCCACTGCAGGGGGCACGGGTTTGACCCTTGGTCGAGGAAGTTCCACGTGCTGTGTGGTGCAAAAAAAAAAAAAAAAAAAATACGGCAGTCAGAGTTTACCTGCACTTCAGCTGGGATCTTTGGGCAATATGGAGATGTATGGTCTGTGCAATAGTTAATATTGGGTCGAGTGCCAAGCGTTTTGCTTGTATTTTCTACTCACAGTAATATGGGTGGTGGTTACTACTGCTGTGCTCTTTTTTGGGTGCAGATGGTGAGGCTAGAGGGGTCAGGAAGCTGGTCAGAGAAGGGAGGAAGAGAGGCATGGGGCCCAGGTGTGTGTGGCCTCATAGCCTTGCTTGGAACCTTACAGCATATCATACCCAGAGGCCAGTGGGGTCTGTCCTTGACCTGGATGCACCATCAGAATACAGGTTAGGATGACATGGGCCAAATCTAATGAGGTAAAATATATAAGAGGAAAATAAAGCTTGTACTTGGCACCAAAAAAATAAATAAATAACCCCCCAAAACCCACACCTTAACTTTGCAAATATAGGCTGGGGGTAAACATGACTTGATAGTGGCACTTGTAAGATGTGTGACTGACATATTTGCCAGAAAAGCTAAGACTGATTAGGCCAATCGGTGGAAATATCTGATATACCAGGTCTAAGATACACCAAACAGATTGCACATGAGGCATTAGATTCATCCTGGGGCATCACACTTAGACACAGAACACATTTAGTTAAGAAACACAAAACTGTTAGATGAGATGGAAGTAATTAAAGGACTTGGAGGTGTTTCGAATTTTAGTTGAGGGGAATAGGAAAAAAGATTTGAGATCGTGATTGCAAAGAAGGATTGGACCATCCTGGGGGCCCTCAGAAAGTTTGGACTGGGACCAGCCTGCTTAATGATGGGATGTGTCAGGTGCTGTCCCCTGTCTGTCAGCACAGGCCCACTTGGGAGGAGGCTTTTGGGGGATCGACTGATGGCACAGAATTCACTGGATGCTGCTCTCTCCCATCTCTTCCAGGGATCCACAAACGCTAAGGAGCTGTCTTCCAAGGGAGTGAAAATCTGGGATGCTAATGGGTCCCGAGACTTCTTGGACAGCCTGGGATTCTCCACCAGAGCAGAAGGGGATTTAGGCCCAGTTTATGGCTTTCAGTGGAGGCATTTTGGGGCCGAATACAAAGAGATGGATTCAGGTGAGGAGACGGAGTGGGGCCTCAAATTTCCTGAGTGCCTCTCACAGCCTGAGTTTGTTCCAATGTTGCAAGTGGAGCCTGGGGGATAGGAAACCGGTGATGGGGAAGTGGATGTATAATTTGGACCTTGTGAGGGGCGCTTCAGATTCAGGTGGAGGATCAGATCAGATCATAGCAGGGTGGTTAGCACTTGCTGGGTCTTAGCACCTTCCATACCTTGTTCATCAGCAGATAGTGACCCGGTTGGTGGTTGGTCAGTGTGTTGGGTGTAGGGTTGGAAGTTCATCTGGGGGACAAGAGTGTCAGGGATTGCCCTGTGGTGGCCTTGATCTCCCCTTTTAAAGACTGAGCTGCCCAGCACACTGTAGTGGTGCTGGGGACCGGTCTCTGGTCACCCTCTCTTCCCCATCCTGGTGGGATGGAGGAAGGTGAAACATCTCACCCCTGGGCGCCCACCCTCCTCTGTCACTTGGTGGCTCCACTTGCTGACTGTCACAGAATCCAGTCCAGGTCCTTTGACCCTTCCTGTCCCCCCATCCCTAGGTCAGGAGTTGCAAAAGCAAATGCCTACCTCGGGGTGGGTGTGTGTGTGCGCGCACGCCGCGCATGTGCATACACACAGGAAGTAACAGTTTGCTGGCTGGGCAAAAACCAGTTACCTGGAAAGCCTGTGCCATCTAAAGGGGACAGTCACACCTCAGCTCTAGCCAGCTGGAGGGATTTGGGCCTGATGTTGTTGGGTTTTTCAATAAATGGCTAAGTCTTTGGAATGGTGGCAACTTTGGTAAGTTCAAAATGCCATGCCAACCTGAAACAGGCAAATTCACAGAGACCAAAAGTGGATGGGGAGTTGTTTAATGGGTACAGAATTTCATTTTAGGAAAATGAAGAAGATTTAGAATGGATAGTGGTGATGGTTGCACAACATTGGGAATGTACTTAATGCCACCGACTGCACACCTTTAAATGGTTAAAATGGTCAACTTAATGTTATATAAATTTTGCCACACACCAAAAAAAATGCTCTGTGGGCCAAACAATTTCTCTGCAGGTGAATGGTCTTTCTGTTGTTAGAATGTAGCCCCCGTCCTAGGACATCCTCAGGATGTGAGGCTACACCCCTGGCTTAATTGTGCCTTAAATCCTGCCTCATGTTCAATTATTTATTCTTCCTTGAGGGACCTGATGAAATTATGGCCTTAGTTTAGAGTTGTATGAACGCTTAGCTGTTGGATTTCAGTACAAGAGTTTTTGTTTTGTTTTGTTTTTAATTTTTACCCTGAAATAATTATAGGTTCACAGGAAATTGCCCAAGAAAATGTAACCTCTCACATAAATTAACATTTGTAAAACCCACAGCACTTACCAGATTTCTCCAGCTTTATAGATTTGTGTGCAGTTTTAGCACCTGTAGATTTAGGTAACCACCACCACAATCAAGATACAGAACTGTTCCTTCACAGTTCATCTTTTTTTAAATCTTTGATGTTACTTTTCTGGAACTGTGATGGTGATAGGACTTTCTTCCCCAAATTTGGAACTACTGGACTTGAGCATAGTCTGACTCCAATAAGTGGAAGTTTAACCAGAGGGGTGTGAAGCTCTGCACATCTCGGCTTCCAGTTCATTTCAGAAGGAGGCAGGGACTTAAAAGTCCAGAGACCAGAAATGGGACAAAAGTATAAGGTGGTATAATAATTAGAGGTTTCCTGATATTTACAGTCAGTAGGTATTTAGCTGTTAAATTGTAATTTTAGGTGGGAGTGTTGGAAGGATAGTGTCTAGATGACAAAAAGGAATTCTCATCCTCTGTTAGTTGGACCGTGTATTGTAGGGTAAATTAGTGAAGATCCAGCCCTGTGCCTGGCAGTGGAGCGTGACAAGATTGGTTGATGGTATAGAGACTACGTCCTGTGGGGACCACTGGAAGAAACAGATTGTTAAGGCTGAAGAAGGTTAGCGATAGGAGAAGGGGGAGGAGGGGCACCACGGCCAAGTATTTAAATGACTCTTAAGTAGGTAAGAAATAGACATTGTTACGGTTCCAGAGGACAGACCTAGGAGCCAAGACTCAATATAACCCGACGAAATATAAGACATTTGTATTGTTCATTGGCTATCATGTAACTGTGCGCCAGGGGAGGCCGTGGGAGGACAGTGTGGTCGATGACCTCTGAGACCCTCTCATGGGATGCTGTGATTCACGTGTGAGGTGTTCTCTCTTTTTGCCAATTCTGCAGATTATTCAGATAAAGGAGTAGATCAACTGCAAAAAGTGATTGACACAATCAAAACCAACCCTGACGACAGAAGAATCATCCTGTGTGCTTGGAATCCAAAAGGTTGATTGCATCCCAGTCACCCTGCCATGTCTTAATTGTACCTCCTGCAGAGGCTGCCCGGCTGCCCCTGTGACCCTGGCCATGTCGCACGTGGTCCCATTTTCACCTTCAGAGGGTGAGGTTGGGCCCAGATGAAATTTGTATTTTATGGGCTTTAAATTGCCTATAAAATTACACATGAAAATTTTAACATTTTAAATTGAGGCAGATGGAATTTCAGATCACCTCCCCCTCACTATTATGAACATTTTAAACAATTATATTGTAAAACTAAACTCTACCAAGGTGTACTAAATACCCAGAGTGGAATATTTGCATTTATGATAGAGATTTTGAATACGGGAAGGTGTGCCTGAGTGGCCAATGTCCTGTGGCCCCTGCAAATGAATTCATTCCTCCTATACTTGTGGTTTGGTGCCATGGTGGTAGCACAAGTAATTCATTTCAGCTCGGGTGGAAGAGCATGGCTTCAGTTGTCAGCATGCATCCATAGAAGTCTCACGTTGATGGACAGGTCTCTGTTGTCGACCGTATGCCATCCCTGGGGTTGGAACGGTCTGTGAGGGTCATGGGGGTCGCTGGCCCAGTGGCTCTTTCTCACCATCTCCGCTGTATGAGTTGGTTCTGTTTCGCTTTGCCTAGAGCTGTGTTCTTTAAAACCACTGCCCCTCCTGACTTTCCTCTGCCGTCTCCTCAGATGTCCCTCTCATGGCCCTACCCCCGTGCCATGCCCTTTGCCAGTTCTACGTGGTGAACGGTGAGCTGTCCTGCCAGCTGTACCAGAGGTCAGGAGACATGGGCCTGGGTGTGCCCTTTAACATCGCCAGCTACGCCCTGCTCACCTACATGATCGCACACATCACGGGCCTGAAGGTGGGCTCCTCTCGGGGAGGAACGGCTGTTGCCAGCCTAAAGCACTGAGCTCTTATTTTCAATGATTTTTTTTTAATTAATTAATTAATTTTTGGCCGCATTGGGTCTGCGTTGCTGCGCGCGGGCTTTCTCTAGTTGTGGCGAGCGGGGACTACTCTTTGTTGCGGTGCGTGGGCTTCTCATTGTGGTGGCTTCTCTTTTGCGGAGCGTGGGCTCTAGGCGCATGGGCTTCAGTAGTTGTGGCACGTGGGCTCAGTAGTTGTGGCTCATGGGCTCTAGAGCGCAGGCTCAGTAGTTGTGGCACACGGGCTTAGTTGCTCCATAGCATGTGGGATCTTCCCAGGCCAGGGCTCAAACCTGTGTCCCCTGCATTGGCAGGCAGATTCTTAACCACTGTGCCACCAGGGAAGTCCCAAGCACTGAGCTCTTAGATCCTGTAACGTGGAAGAACTAATTGCAGAGAATTTCGTCTCCAATTAGTCTTTAAATGTGATAGATGTAAATGAGGAACTGGCTTACTCTGTAACCTCCTTGGAGCTTTCCCGTCCTTTTGCTCTGTATAAACTAACAGGATCGTATAGGTTATTTATTATAACTTTGATGAATCAACTTTTCTCAAAATTGACGCTGGTTAAATTCCTTGTGAAAAGCTTTGGGATGTCTGCATACTCTATCATGTGTTTCTACATGATGTGTTTTAAAGGAATTCAAACTAAAGAATTTACTGTTCTGCTTTCTCCCGTGGGGTTTAGCCAGGTGACTTTGTACACACTTTGGGAGATGCACACATTTACCTGAATCACATTGAGCCGCTGAAAATTCAGGTAAGAAATGTATCTGTCACACTTTGGGGTTTGGTACCTTCTCTTGATAAAAGGTCGATATGGAAAACATCCCTCCTGTAATAAGTGTTCTCCTCGGTGCTCTGACAGAGATAAGAGGACCTGCTTCCAGGTTTGCGGGTGGTGGTGGGCAGGCAGGGACAAGGCAGACAGGCCTCAATGGCCACAGACACTTTACATGACACGTGCTGTGAGGTATTAAGTACCAGTACCAGAGAGGAGGAGCCATCTTTGGACCAGAAGGTTTAGGACCTTCCCAGAGGTGGCATTTTAATTCATTGTTTTACTTGGAAGAGTGTTTAAATGCAAATATTTTCCCTTAGTTTTATGCTAACATACAGTATTTAGGTCTGAACTTTGAAAAGTCTGTGTTCACTTCCATCATTTACAGCAGCCAACAAAGGATTTGTTTTTTGGATGTTTTTTGTTGTTGTTTTGTTAATTGAAGTATAGTTGATTTACAGTGTTGTATTAATTACTGTTGTACAGCAGACTCAGTTATACATGTATATACATTTTTTTCATATTCTTTTCCATTATGGTTTCACAGGATATTGAATATACTTCTCTGTACTATACAGTAGGACCTTGTTTATCCATTTATATATACTAGTTTGCATCTGCTAATCCTGAACTCCCACCCCTTCCCCACCTTGGCAGCCACCAGTCTATTCTCTCTGTTCGTGTTTCTGTTTCATAGATAGGTTCATTTCTGTCATATTTTAGATTTCACATGAGTGATATCTCATGGTATTTGCCTTTCCCTTTCTGACTTCACTTAGTATGATAATCTCCAGTTGCATCCATGTTGCTGCAAGTGGCATTATTTCATTCTTTTTTATGGCTGAGTAGTAGTCCATTGTATATATGTATTGCATCTTCTTTATCCATTCATCTGTCCATCGACATTTAGCTTGTTTCCATGTCTTGGCTATTGTGAATAGTGCTGCTGTGAACATAGAGGTGCGTGTATCCTTGAATTACAGTTTTGTCTGGATATATGCCCAGGAGTGGGATTGCTGGATTATATGGTAATATTATTTTCCATTTTCTGAGGAACCTCCATATTTTCCACAGTGGCTGCACCAACTTACATTCCCACCAACAGTGTAGGAGGTTTCCCTTTTCTCCACACCCTCTCCAGCATTTGTTATTTGTAGACTTTTTAATGATGGCCACTCTAACTGGTGTGAGATAGTACTTCATTTTAGTTTTGATTTGCATTTCTGTAATAATCAGCGATGTTGAGCATCTTTTCATGTGCCTATTGGCTATCTGTGTTTCGTCTGTGGAGAAATGTCTTTTGGTGTTGTTTATGGTTTCCTTTGCTATGCAAAAGCTTGTAGTTAGTTTAGGTCCCATTTGTTTATTTTTGTTTTTATTTCCATTGCTTTGGGAGACTGACCTAAGAACATTGATACAATTTATGTCAGAATATTTTACCTATGTTCTCTTCTAGGCGTTTTATGGTGTCATGTCTTATGTATTTCCAACAAAGGATGATTTAAGATGGCAATAAAAATATGAGTGTGCTTAATGAACCTCAAGGAAAAAAATTCAAACCAAAAACCTTTAGCCCCTTATGGATTAGGTCTGGGTTTGGCAAGTCTTTGAGGAGCTTGGCTGCTGTGATTAGAGGGTGACCCAGGGCTCATCCAAATGCTCCTCTCTGGCAGTCTGCTCCAGTCATGCTGGACGGAATACTATGTGGTCGTGACCTGTGTCCATGTCCTCATTGCTGCTGTCTGTTCATCCCAGGAGTCCTGGCTTGCATCCCTTTCTGTTGTCAACACGTGTCATCTTCTTTGCCCTTTCTGCCAGGGACAGTTGGGCTAGGGTTCAAGGGACTCAAGTAACCATTCTGTAGCTACTTTTTATTAAAGTAGAAGGCTAGGCCCTGTCTTTAACAAATTTACCAAGAGCAGTCGATTATAAGAACTTAAACCTGGTGAGCCACCAAGGCTCCTGACACCATGTGATTCTACTAAACACCCTTCACTCTCCATGTGGGTGAAAGAATTGGTCAGCAGCATTGAATAACCAGGGACAAGGTATCTGTAGTATTCCACCCCTGAAAAATAATATTGATACTTTATTGGTAAAATACTGTTATTTGTTTCATGAAGGGACACAGGGAGCAAAATTAAAGCAGGTTGTATGGATCTGGCAAAATAATGGCCTTATGTTGTTTTTAGCTTCAGCGAGAACCAAGGCCTTTCCCCAAGCTCAAAATACTTCGAAAAGTTGAGAAAATTGATGACTTCAAGGCTGAAGACTTTCAGATTGAAGGCTACAATCCTCACCCGACCATTAAAATGGAAATGGCTGTTTAGAGTGCTTTTGAAGGAGTTGTTTGAAGGATATTTACAGGTGAAAGTTCATTTTGCTCTAAAGGAGAAGGAACTAGGTCAAAACCTGTTGGTGATCTATCAGTTATTATTCATTAACTTTTAAGGATGTTGCCACTGGCAAATAGAACTGTGCTGGTTCTCTTAGTAATAAAAGACCTGGAGTTAGGGTAACTCACTGAGGATGTATGTAAATGTAGAGATTGTGAATACAGACAGGAAGGAGAAAATATATATACTCTTAATTCAAACTTTGTTTTTATGAAAATGGTCAGTGAATTTCAAGAATTATGTATAACTATTGCCCAAATTGGAGCAAGCTGGATAACACCATCAGTCATAATGCTTAGTGTGGTTATGAACATATTTGTTTTATATCTTGCTGTAATGTTCTGCATTCATGTTTTGTTTTGTTTTTTAATTCCATGTTGCCATTTATCTGCTCAGTTCCTGCCTAAAACAGATTTAACTGAACCCTCCTAAACAAACATACCTGTGCTGTGTTCTCTTTTGGATGCTGCTTAGATGGGTAAAGTATATTTTAGAAATGCTGACTAAGCTGTATTTCACCCTATTTTTCTATGATTCATCTAATTCTAGCTGCATTTTATCATTAAAATACAATGATTATTTGGGATAAAGGCTTTAAGGGTTATAAAAATAGTCTATGAAATATCCCTTTACCCTCATTAGCTTCAGCATGGTGAATTCTCTAATAACAGTGCTTAGACTGAGCAAGAGAAAGATGCTAAACCACCTCAGGGCTGATCAGTGAATGTTTTTACCTTTGCTGCATATCAGATACCTCATAGTGCTGCACGACTGTTTTATTATGCTAATTTATGACAAGTGTGTTTTTTAAAAAGATTAAGGAATTATTCCAACATGCTGCTTATTTTCAAAGTTTAATGTCTAGGTACCAGCACTTGATAGAAATTTTAACATCTTCCTGGACTTTGAGACAGTTGGATCTACTTTTGTTTAAAGATTACATAGGAGAATGTTTTTTGCTGAAAGAATCAAGTAATGATGACTAAGCTGATGCCTGAGGTTAGTATGACTTTCAGCTGAACTTGTTCTGATTGGTAGGATGAATTTTTTTTTCTATTTTTGTAAAACCATACCCAAGAAATTTTAAGCCTTTTCACTTAAAGCAAAAGCTGTTAAGCATTCAGCTCTAATTCCCTTGAGCAGCAAGGAGCTTCTCCCAAACTTCACCATCTGGATACTGGTGTTTCTTTACAGACTCCTCCTTCATTTCTGTTGAATAACCAGCATCCTATCAAAGACAAAAAATGGAATCATGTTAATAACCACCTAGAACAAAAGTCATTTATTTTACTTATTTCTGCTGTTCCTAGAAATGCTTTTAAATCTAAGTCAGAGGCAACTGAATTAATGTTTTAAAAATAAGTTTGCAGGTTGTTTGAAATGGGGGAGAGGGACGTCCTTTATTGGCTGCTTCTCAGGATTAGTGAACTATTCACACCCTTTGATAGTTCAACCTCTGTTGGTGAAAATGAGCCCCGATCTCTTGAATAGACGGATAAATGGCGCAGACAACACAACTGCAGTCAGAACCTTTCACTAACTTGCTAGATGGTGCCGGGGTTTTTTTTTAGTTTTGTTTTGTTTGGGGCAGGAAGGACCCAAGGAGTGCATGTTTTCAGGTCCAGCTGGTGAGGAAAGGCTGGCGTGAGAGAAGCCTTGTCGGGGGCATCCTGACCTTCAGGTCTGGGGAATTTGACTAAAGAGCGATATGTTTCTAGATATTGAAAACAGACTTGAAGGAGACAAAGCTTTGTGCTCTGGGGTCTAGCTCCTGAGAAGAGTAGGGCAGGGCTGGCAGTGCCTCCTCGGGGATGGGGGTGGGGCCTCCCTGGCCAAACTCACCTTAGGAGGCATGTAGGAAGCCTTCTTGATTATCACGGGGTACTTGAAGTGCTCGTGCAGGTGGTCGACGTATTCACACATCCTGGGAGGAAGGAATCGGGTTGGGGTAAAAATGCCTTCAGTTAGATAGTTCATGTGGTGCTGTTAGGGCAAAGGGGCGAGCACCACTAAGAAAGGATGGACTCTGCCAAGGCCTGGCTGATACCATGTATTTCTATGTAAGTCCCTCAGCCTCTGGACTTCAGGTTCTTCTCTGTAAGGTAAAGCAGTATGGGGGATTGGATGAAATGAACTGTGAAGTATCTTTTAACTTAAGGTTTTGGGAACCAAAAGGCATCAATTTAGACTTAGACGTATCTGGGATTTGGGTGCCTCTAGCCAAAAGGTGAACAGATTAAAGTCACCAAATGAGGTCCCTTCCAGCTACACAAATGATTTAGAAGAGCACAGGTTTTAGGATCAGACCAATCTGTTCAAATTTGGTGTCAGCCACTGTCTAGTTTTGTGACTTGGGGCAAGTGACCTAACTCTACTGCCTTACTTCAGCCATTGGTTAATGAACAGCTGAGATGAGCAGGCCATGTGTCCAGTGCTGGGGACACAAAGGAACTGGTAAGAGAGGGCCTTGTGGTTTCAATGGCCGTAGATACCAAGTTGTTGACTATAATATGTACTGTGTATAATCTATAAAGAACAGGCTACAGATGAAGAACCGGCCGCTTGGGAGAGGACAGCGGGCCTTGAAGAATGAATAGGGAAGCGGTGCTCCACACACAGGGTTACAAAGCAGGTGACAGCACACGGCATCTCTGTCTGGTGGCTGTCCCTCCTGCATGGTGGCATTCCCAAACAGTGAGGTCTGCTTTCAGGGGGTGGCATGAGGTTCTCACCCACTCATGGGCGGGCATAGTGCCCAGTGGGTCAGAGCTGACCCTCTTTTGTATTCCTCAAAACTTTGCAGGACCTGTCAAGGTTGGTTGGAGCCCCTCCCTTAGTCCTGCTTTAAGGAACTGAAATGAGGGGGCAAAAGCAGAATAACCCAGGAGTGTTCGTTTTTCTAGTTTAAAATATCTCAGGTTTAAAATACCCAGCTGCAGAAAGAACCATTACTTTATAGTTGAAGTCCCCGTAGACCCTCACAGGTCCCACTTCTCAATCCTGAACTTGATGTTCACCTTTCCCGTGCATGTCCTCATGCTTTCACTGTATACTCCTAGTGATCTTTCTGCACTATTGCATTTAATTCTTGGAGGAGAGAAAGGCATAATAAAGTTGTATGTCTGCAGGTGACTGGAAGGAGACTGTCCTAATTTAAAGCTCACCTGGCACATGCTGAGAAATAAGACGGAACTAAAAGATGCAGCCAGATCCTGAAGACTCCAGTGTTGGGAAGAAATTGGACAGAAGCAGAGAGTATACATATGAAAGCGGGGCTTTAGAAAATCAGAAACAGGAGCTGTTTCTGGTTTCCATTTGGTTGCAGACTCTCCCCATCCCCCTTATGTACCTAGAAAACAGTAAGTCAGCTACCAGGAAACCACCCTCTAGAAGAAAAAAGACTATTCAGTAGTGGGGCTCAAACTGCCTTTGAGTTATGGGATGTGCCAGTGGCCAGGGGTCTGGCCTGGAGTGAGAGACAGTACTGAAGTTAATGCCACATCACTGACCTGTCTTTGAGGCTTGCAGAGACTGATATGAAGTCAAATATAATCAGGTGCTGCACCAGTTCACAGAGGCCAACTCCACCAGCATGCGGGCACACAGGAACTAAAAGTGAAGACAGATTTCCACTGAGTGCTAAGTAGGGCAGCGAGGGAGAAGTGAAGGAGAACCTGTGGCTTTTCTTGTTGCCTGCAGGTGATTAAATCGTTAATAGTTAGGAATGAAAATCATCAAAGATTCCCTGATTAAGCCTAACTCAGAGTTAGAAAAAAGTCAAAATGGGAAACTCCAGAGGGAACCAGGCAGGGAAATGGTGTTTGGTCCGCGACCCCGCGGTGCCCTTACTGTCAAACTTTTTGGCCATCAGCAGCACTGAGAGGTTCTCATTTACACTCCCCAGCCTGCAGCTGTCGATCTGGAGAAACTGCAGGGCTTTTGCCTGTAGGAGTTGCTTAAATATCACTCTATTGTGGCACTGGAAATAGAATTAAAATACACCAACAGAAGAGTCAGCCTCGGCCTTCAGGATCTGTATACCTGGCACTGCCCCCATTCCAAGTCTCTCATTGGTGGCCTCCTGGAAGCCCGGACTGTATTCATTTTTTGTTCTCACTTGGCATGAGGTGAGCCCTGACAAGCCAGGCAGGGACCTTCTGATCACTTTGTTACAGATTTGCTGGCGGAACCACGTGTGTGTCATGTAAAAGTCACACCACTCACCATCTATCAGTGCATAACCGCCACCTCTAAGTGGGAGATAAAGCATCAGGATGAAATAAGGGGATGGCGATGAGCAGGTGGCACGGGCGACAAAACAGAAGTGTGGCAGAACAGCACTGCTCCTTTTGCTGGGAAAGCCGAGAATCTGTTCCCTCACAGAGCTCTACTCGTGGGCCGCCTGCCGCGGGCTTTGGCAGGCACTTGTGCTTCGTTTATAAGCACAAAAAGGGAACGCAATCATGTTTACCCAGTTTGGAAGCTGGCTTTCTTAAAACCACATGGTGCACATTAGGCCCCTACAGCTTTAAATTGCTGCCTTGTAAATTCCGAGGAGCTACTTTGAAAAAGATAAATGACCTTAGTCATAGGAATTGTAGAAGAACATGCAAACTCGACTATATATATGTCTTACTCCAGACTATGAAGTGATCTAAGGTGACCCAATTTCTAAGATGAAGAAAATCTCCCAACTCAGAACAACAACACAGGTGATGGAGCCTAGCATATGCCAGTGTCCCCAGTCGGTGGCCAGTGTGTGCTGACCCTGAGGAGACATCTCTTACCTGTTCTCCGGTGGCAACGCCAATTCCCAGGGGGACCAGTGCCTGTAAAATATAAGGCAACCTGATGTTATTTTCCTAAGTTTTTGAACTGAGACTCCTAATGTTTAAAAATATTTAGAGCTGTTCAGCTATTTAGAGCTGAAGAAGGAAACAGCCCTGCCGTCGAGCCGTGTGAAGTTTAAGGAGCCACAGAAAGTGGTAGAGCAGGTGGGGGAGGTACACTGGGCCATCTCTGTCTGACGCCAGCACGTGTTCCATCCCACAACCGGTACCTCCCTGATTTCTCACCCATCTGGCAGCCTTTGGTTTAAATAGGGCTGCTCATGGAGCTCACTCTGTCAGAGGATGCAAAAATATAGGGCTCCCAGAAGTTACACTTTCTCCTATGAGTGACCCACCTGGCGCTCTGGCTTATAGATCTGTGCTGTGAACCCGGCTAATGGGAGACTCCCTGAGAGACAGGATATTTCTCACATATTCTTACATATGAAAGGGAGAGAAGCCGGCCCAAATTCAGGTGAGTTTGCCCAGGAAGCACCCTGGTTAAAGGGCTCTGTGGAAACGGATGGGCAGCCTTCTCATGGGGAGGCCTGAACTTGACATTAGCTAAGCAAACCTTTGCTTGTGAATCAGCCAGAGGAATCTACACTTTGTTTCAATCTGGGTGAGTAAAATATTTGAGTATCAGTCAGATTTCTGTATTTACAAAGTATGGGAATCAGGTCTGTTAACCTTTGGATTGCTGGTAGCCTTTCAACTGGTAGCAATTTAGTTTCTCTAAAATAAATAGAACTGTGAAAGGGAATAAGCCCAGCAATCTTAGGATCTGTGACCACCACTCTAGCAGCAGCAGCAGGTTTTTTACCTTGGAAATGGTGGCATGCCCCAGAATGTCATCAGGGGAGGTGGGCTCCTCAATCCACAGGGGCTTGAACTCCGCCAGCTTCGCCATCCACTCCACGGCCTCAGGCACATCCCAGCGCTGGTTGGCATCCATCATCTGAAAGGAGGGAGAGACCCTTCATGGGGAGGTGTGCCCGCTGCTGACCTTGCTGCAGGCTGTGGCTCCCAGGGAGGAAACGCTGTCACTTGGTGCCCCTGACTGCTGGGGCCCAGCACACACCCATAACAAAGGGAGCCCAAGAGCAGCCACCAAGACGAACTCTGGCTCCAGATACTGTCTCAGGAGATGCAAGCTGCTCAGGGAGCCACTGTCAGGTCCAGAAGTGCTTGCTGGCCCTGGAGCTCCAGCCTGATCTACATTTAGAAACCACCCAAATACATTTGTCTTGCAGGGTTCATCATTTGTAGGAACTGTTTTATCACATTCTGAATCATGCACAGTTAATACCGAGTTTGTTCAATAGTCACTTATTGGCTATTACCTACTATGTGTTTGGCACAATAATAAACCCAAACTCTACCATTAATTAGGCATCTACTCCACTAGGCATTTAATGGATTTTGTTCCATTTAATATTTATAATAACTCTATGAGGCAGTTCACATTAACCCATCTTACAGACAAGAAAACATAAGCAGAGAAGTAACTTGCTCAAGGACGATAAGTAAATGGCGAGTTCAAATCCAGGCCTCTCACTCTAAGGCCTGGGCCCTCTGTGTGCAGTGAGACTGCCAGGAAGCCAGGGTGTGCAGAGACAAGAAAGGGCCCCTCCATCCCCGATATCATCACACTTGGAGAAGCCAGACACAGAGATGGAATTCTTTAGTAGAATGTGCTGAGTGGCAAGAGGTCCCTTGTGGGACTCTGTGGGAACCAGAGGATAGTGCGCCCAGAATCTATTCCTGTCATAAATTATTTAGATGAGCATGACCTCACAAGACAAAAGTAACATTAATTCATGTATAAATAGTGGGACTTTTGATCTTAGGTCCAGGACTCAAACTTCTATTTTAATATATGAAACATGCCTCCAAAAAAGATATAAAAACATCTTATTGTGACTATTTTATGAAAATATTTTACACATAGGAAGAAATGTTTTATAAAAATAGGTAGGAATGACTGATATTTAACATTTATCTCGGCAAAAGTTCCAGCATTTATTGAGCAATGGCTCCCTGAGACCCACCTACCTGAAGGCGGGTTGGCGGATTTAAGAAGTGGGGGGGGGTTGAATGGTTGACACACCTGGGGCGCCAATGGGAGACCTGTTTGCTCAGGCGCATCTGTCCTAGCACAAAGGAACAATCCCTAAACCTGATCTTACTTAGTTCCGCAGAATAAAAAACTATCAATCAGCCCCCTCAGTTTTTTGTTTTTTTAAACAATTCGCCTACTCCAAGAGCTCAAAGCTGTACTTCTGACATACGGTGTTAAAGTTCCCAATGTTCTTTAATCCTTGCTTGAAACAAGTTGTATTTTGGCCCTGGACAAGGCTTCTCACATACAGCTGCTTACTTCTCAGTGGCAGGGAGGTTACTTACCAGCGTCTTCTCAGGGCCGATCATGTTTCTGATGAGTCGGCATCTACGGATGTCATCCTGGAGATCAGCACCAACTTTTACCTTAAACCTATAAAATAAGTTTGGTCTCATAATTTAGATCTGTCCCCTGACTTGGCAAAGACACGTGGCTTTTCTGCAGAAGTAACTGTTTCTGTCAATAATTCACAGGTCACATTTTCTAGTAAACTCTTGCCCTTTCCCAATCAATCTTCAGACAAGCCACTCAAAAATAACCCTGTAAGTGTATCTTTTTACTCAGTATCAGGGCAGTAACTCTAAATTACCTGCTGTCCTGAAGTCCAGCAATGGACAGAGCAGCTAGATCTTTAATAACATTAACTGAGTTTTTTGCTGTGCCATGAAGAAGAGTTAAGAACGGAAAAGGCATAGTCAGACTTGGCGGGTGAGCTGGCATCCTCTGCCTCACTCACCAGCCTCTCTGTCCTACACACGGACATCAGGCTGCCGCTTTGGAGCCAGGATGGCCCAAGGTCCTCCTCTCCACAACGCCCACCCGCTGTGCTAACAAAAAAGCCCCTCTCACAGCCTGTGCTGTTCTCTCCCCTGTGCTCAACACCAAACACACTAAAGATGACCTTTCTATCCTGGGTGGAAGCCTTAGCTTCTGGATGCTGGGCTTCCCATGCTCAGGGGCCTAGGAATCTCTCCTCGGCCTTCTCTGACTCCTAGCGGTGTCTGCTCCAGCCTTTCCTGGGCACATGGAGGGAGGGAAGGTGCCAGCACTCACTGAGCACCTGCTACCAATCCTGGCTGTGCTGGTCCTTTTCAGAGACAGCAACCTTGAAAACCATGAGATATTATGATTCCCATTTTATAGAGAGAAAATGAGGTTCAGAGAGGTTGAACAATTTGCCC